CCAGCACCTCTTGAGTACGATGCTGCTACCGATGCTGCATCACAGATAAGAACACTTCCAGCAGTAACTGATGCACCTCCCTGTAGTAAGCGATAGGTAGACATGAGTCCAAACAGGCCCACTGGTCCCCAGAAACCACACTCTGAACTTGTTTTGAGGTTTAGAGTGTAGTAATTAATCAGCTTCAGGTGTTTCTGTGCCGGCCTGGCACCAAATATTTAGTTGATGTTAATATCATTAATTATACAAAGCCATAAAATACAGTGTTGTGTGTATATGATGTTAAGAGTATCAAAACATTATTTTTTTGAGAACGTATTTTTAGTGAAGAAGTTACATTTTGAATTTTTTATTTTCCGAGGGAGGGTTGAGGATGCACGTGACACAGCATACCTCTGTAAGTCAGGTGAGTAAACTCAGGTCACTGGTAAGTCTTAGTGGCAGGCATCTCTATCTTCCCAGCCTTGTTACCAACCCTTGGCTACTCAGCTCTTTTCTTCATATATTCTTGAGCTATTGCAGAGAAGTCTCTGCTCAGAGAGAGGCAACATTTTTCAGCACAGCTCAAAGCTCACCCTACATTCAGGTTCAACCAAGTAATGGATTTTCATAGGGAAAAGAGCAAAAGGGGTGTGATGATCAGTTCCAGTCTTTTACCCGCTTCAAGCTGTATGAACAAGATTCTTGGGACCCACAGATGTGTGCAATTACAGACAGAAAAGAACTCTGGGTTCTTGGTCCCTGATGAGACTGTGAGACACAGAAAAACTACTAATGAGGAATGCATCTGACTGCAGCCAGGGAAAAGCAAGCTGCCACTGTGTTAGGCTGCTGAGCACAGGAGACGGCAACATCAGGTGTAATAACTAGCACCCCCCCCATCTGTGTTAGATACTAAGGTCTTTGTTTATAAGTGAGGAAAATGGAGTACAGACATTAACCAACCATTCCAAATTCAATACCAGTTTCAATACTATTCTTAAAAGGTCAAGAAATGAGCCCTAAGGATTAACAGATTTTGCAGGTGGCAAACTAGTTCCCATGAAGTAGGAAGCAGAGTGGGTCTGGAAATGTACATATTTGAAGCTGAAGAAGACGGTAACAGTAATAGGAGTTCCAACTATCCGAGTGGAAGGGAAATCACATGCAGTCTTTGGAAATAAAACATTTCTTTTGCTGATTCTCCTCCACATTGTTGAGAAAGGTGGGAGAGCAGGAAGATGAAGAGTAAGAAGGAGAAGTCAAGTGAGAACTTGGCCTCTGTCACAACAGCTATTTTAAGCGTTTCTATCAAACAACTTAAATGAGTGGCATTTTGGAACTCTGGAGGTTGCCTGGCAAAGCAACAAGAAGCTCGACAGAAGCAGCAAGACTGACCCACCAAGCAGTCCACTCTGGTGAACAGAACTTCTGTCCCACCCCAAGTGCTGATGGCTGTAGGAAGCTGCACGCAAGAAAAAGGTGCTGGACAGCAGGGCCTAGATCACAGAATCCTCCTGCACATTTGAACAACTAACTCCGCAGAGGCTGTTATAGTGTGAGCTGCAGGGCAAACTGATGTAACCAGCCTGTAATAAGCTAATAAGCACAGAGCAAAAATGTCAAAAACCACAACAGAAATGCCATGGCCAAGTGCCTTGCATGTTTTCTAGAGAGAGAAGGCGCTGAAATTATTTCAGTGTCTCTTCAGGAGGACAAGCCCACTTGATTAAACAACTTTAAACCATTATATGATTGAGAGGCTGATAAGTGCTCTTTTACTCTAGATACTGAAATGGACAAATGGAAATTGAGAGTAGTATAAATAAGAAGGAGAAATGAAGACCAAAAGCTGATAATAGACATGTTAGAAGATGTGCTTAATCCTTACTTGTGTATTTAAATCTACAAAGATAAAAATGTATGAGTGAAATGGGAACGAGATCTTGCCTCTTTTGTGTTCAAATATTCCAAACTATGAGAGCTGACTGACCGTCACGCATGTACTGGGTCACAGAGATGTTTGAAAAACTCCTAATCTCATCTTGGCTGTTGGGTGTAAGAGTTTAAAGCATGGTGTTAAGCGATCTTTAAAAGGACCCAAGTGGTTAGTTCCTGTTCATTAAGATGCATGGATGGGAAACTGGAGAGATGACTCAGTGGTTAAGATCACTGAATGCTCTTCCAGAGGACCTGGGTTCAATTCCACATGGCACATGACAACTGTTTGTAATTCCAGTTCCAGGGGACCCGATAGTCATGGCAAAACACCAATGCCCATAGACTAAAAATGAATTTCTTAAAAGTATGCATGCATGGATAAAGTAGGAAATACCAGAGACAAAGAAGTGCATAACAATGGTTAAAAAAATAGCATGATCTTTTCCACACGATTACAGGGTGTAAAGAAAGCTGACAGAGAGGCTGAAGAGGTGGCCCAACAGTTAAGAGAACTGGCTGCTCTTCCAGAGTACTCAGGTTTGATTTTCAGCACTCGTAATTGTGACTCACAAGTGTCTAGAGCTCCATCCAGTCCTAGGGAATTCAATGCCCTTTCATAACCTCAATGGGTACCATTCATACACATGGTACATAAATATCCATTCACAAAAGATTGTCATACATACACATGAATTAAAAATAAATAAAACTTAAAACATTAATAAAAGCTAATAGACAATTTTTAGATGTTAAGGAAATAGCTTTAGAATTTCTTATGGGGGAATGAATTATTCATAGTCTCCTATTTATATGAGTCCCGAATTTCTGCTATTACATCTACTTTCTTTACCTTTTGAAAACTACAATAATTTTTGCCTGGTGGTGGTGGCGCATGCCTTTAATCCCAGCACTCAGGAGGGAGAGGCAGGCGGATCTCTGTGAGTTCGAGGTTAGCATAGTCTACAAGAGCTAGTTCTAGGGCAGGCTCCAAAGAAACAGAGAAACCCTGTCTTAAAAAATCAAAAAAGAAAAAAAAACCCAAACCCTACAATAATTTTTAAAATATATTTACTTAAAACGAGCAAGAAACTATCTCCTTTTTAGCCATGTTCTTGTAACCTTGTCCTACCCTTGCCAGTACATGCATATGGATAATAAGTAAGATGTCTCTGACACAGATCAGTTCCCAGCAACAACAAACACAAAGCAAGATTCAGGACATAGCACCGGTCTACCACCCTTTATCTACAATGCTCAGACTCCTGGTTTCAGATTTTAAAATACTTAAATACTACTTGACAATCTCTGACATGAAATTCTAAACACAAAGAATTCAGAATGTCAAACTTTTAAGTATCATAATAGAATTCAAAAAGTTGGGGTTGGGAATCCAGTTCAGTGGTAGAGTGCTTGCCTAGCAAGAGCAAGTCCCTGGATTGGGTCCTCAGCTTTAGGGGAAAATAAAAAAACAAAATACCAAAAAGCCTAAAATTTGGATCACTTCTGCATTCACATTTACAGTTAGCAATGACCAACCTCTCAGAGTAACTTTGATTAGCAGGAAATGCTTGCTGCCAAAGAACTTAATGTTGTGATTGTCATTGTTGCTGCCATTGAGTGGGTCAGGGAGCAAAGAAAACTGTTATGAAGCTAGGCTTACTGGTAGATACCTAAAATGTTATTGCTCAGGAGGTCAAGGCAGGAGGATTGATGTGAGTTTAAGGATACTCTTTCCAAACCAGTGAGACTTTGTCTTAAAATGCCAAACCGAACCAAACCAAACCAAAACCAACTAATCAAACAAAAACAAAGACAGCTATTGATAATGGATTAAACAATGCTATTTTTTTTTTGGTAAAGACCAATGTTAAGAATGCAGTCAATATGCTTTTCTTTCAGTTTTTTGTTTGTTTGTTTGATTGGTTTGCTTTTGTTGTCGTTGTTGTTAACAGCATTTTGCTCAGTAGCCATAGGCATTCCGGAATTTATTATATAACACAAGCTGGCCTCCTGCCAGTCTCCCAAGCTAGGCTACTAACGTGTGCTCGATGTCTGACTAATGTCAAAAAAAATCCTTCATGCTGCATACAAACATATGTTACAATGTATAAGATGGGAAAGGTCAATGCGATAACCTAGGCCTTTCACATACCTCTCCCCCCAGTATCACATCCATAAGCTAACTGATGCAACAAAAGACACAAGGCCGTGTTCTTAAGACACTTGGCCAGGACAGGAAGCCGTCCACCGTTTGTATTTCAAACACTATTCTGGATTTTGAAGGAGCATTCCTCTGGCATTCAAAACCCACAAAACCTAATGCTCCCTACAGCTACTGCTTATAAAAGAATTGCATGAAAATGTGCAGGTTAGTCTTGTCAGGAGAGACGAAGGAAAATATGAGGGAAAAAGTAACTCTTGGCAGTTCATTACCACCTCCTTGTATACTTCTTAACCACATGCTCTCCCTGACTCAGCGTACCTCTTCACAGAAGCATCAACTTCAGTGTGCTTTAAGAATCTACAAACTTCTGGGTATGTTGGCCTACATGTTTAATCCCAGCATTTGAGAGGCAGAGGCAGACAGACGTCTGCAAGTTACAGGCCATTTAGGGTTACCATAGTGAGACCGTGTAAAAATGCCCATAATGTCTAATGCAATGTGCTTTCAAGCCTGGTAACAATACCAACCTTACAAAGTTGTTTATCCTGTGGCTCTTGTACTGAGTAACAATGGATTAAACTAGATTTATTCAAACTCTAAGCTAATAAAGAGATGAGAAGACCATGGCCATGTTGCTGTTATCTGAGGAATACTTGGTGAAGTATTACACACCTTCCAGTGCCTTCTTCCATCTTCCCTATGATTGCCAAGTTAGTAAGTCAATTGATACCCCATGAATTAGCTATATTTTCTATTAAGGCAAAGTCAATCACTGTCAAGATTAATCAGAAAGTTCCCCTATTACCACTGACTATTACCCTTAAAAGAACTGCAGTAAAGCAATAACATAAACCAAGGCTTGCAGTACCACCGAGACCAGTGTTTCATTATTTCTTTGAGAACATGAAAGTCATACCTTCAACCAAGGAAGTGAGGAGGGTGACATTGGCTGCTTTCCGTCTTCCAGCTGGCAGATTTAGGCCAAGCCTATCCAGTTTCTCTCTTAGGCAGCGGCCACCATTCTTGGATTTTGCTCTGTCCAGAATCAAATGCAAATTCCGTTTGGTTAGTTAAAACTTGGAAGAAATTCTGAGATGACTAGCTCTCGTGGGGAAGATACCACAGTGGATGGGGTATAAAAAGACAGGAGGCTCGAGAGTAGTATCAGTTCAATTACCAGAGACACAGTGGCAGGAAACAGCTTCATCTTACCTCCTCAGAATGCCTCCCAGGAGTGAAGCATTGAGGCACTCAGGTGGCGAGAGACGCCTCTTTACCTCAGCAATGGTCACCTTGTATTTGGAAGTAGAACTGAGAAGGGACAATCGACCAGGAACTGAGCAAAACAAGTCTGTGGGGTTGACCACACAGGTGCCACCTTGGGAGGGGAAAATGTACATGTTAGTGATAGCAAAAGAAGAGAGCTTTCTAAGAGGCAGCTAGAAGCAAGAGATACACGCAACAGCTGTGTCTATCCACCATATACATCACGTCAGGCTACTCCAAAGATACCCTTCTAAGAACTAATTAGGGTTTTGTATATCATACAGAAAATGAATCTGTGTGTAACGTTGTATTTCTAGACAAAATTATCACCCCCTACAACACAGGTTGCCTCTACAGTGTTAATTTTGACATTATTACATCAAGAGACACATCAGCACTTTACTGCCCCCAAATCCAAGAGTTAATCCCACAAAAGTTGTTCCTACTGATTCACAGTTATGTGTGATTGTGCACACATACAGAATGGGATAAAACTTTTGATGCATTCTTTTCTTTTCCAAAATGTTTGCATGTTATCTTCTTCCTTCCCTCATCTGTCTACCAGCTAAAGACACCAATCCCCATGTACACTAAAAATCATCTGCCTGTCACCAGAAATTTCCAATAAATACAGTTGACAATACAGTCAAATCTGTACACAATGCTTCAGTCTTCATGGTCAGCCAGCATAGGTAGACAAACACAGGGTAAGACACAGTGTTAGCTAGTTACCTACATTAAATATGTCTGTTATTATCATTATGATGGTTGCTTCATCACTGCTGTTAGGGTGCAGGGAAATGATAACCATTAAGAACATCACCAAATAATTTTGCCGTGATGGATTTCCTAGAATAGGAATATCTATCTTCAAGTTCGGTAGATTCTCTTGAGCCTCACATTCCTGCAGAAGCAGAATACTCTATTCTCTAACCTCAAAACAGTTCCCACTGGCTAAGAATAGACTTGGATACTCATGGGTGAGCAATACTAGTTACAGTTTCTTGATGCCCAAATGCTAACTTACTGCAAAAATCCCCAGTCAACGTTCATTCTGCTAAGATAATGGGCGTATGAACTTGGGATGTAAAGCTTCCTTCATATGTGCCCAGACCTCTGAGGCCAATTGTAATTCAAAACTGGATTTTCTTTTAAAAAAGTTTCCTACAACGTCTCTCTCTCTCTCTCTCTCTCTCTCTCTCTCTCTCTCTCTCTCTGTGTGTGTGTGTGTGTGTGTGTGTGTGTGTGTGTGTGGCGAGATGAAGGTGTTAGATGCCCTGGAACCAGAACCACTGGTAGTTGTAAATTGCCTAATGTGGATGATGAAAAATGAATCCAGGTCCTCTGCAAGAGCAGTTAGTGCTCTTAATAGTTGAGCCACCTCTTGAGCCCTTCTCAGATTTTTTTTTCTGAGAATTTTCTTGATGTAGTTGTAGGTAAACGTAAGCTACATTTTCAGAAACGGGGATTACAAAGGAAAGGAAGGAAGGAATAAGTGATTAGAAAAAGAAAAAGACAGAAGATTTTTGCTCAAAATTGGTTTAGTAAGAAGGTGATCTACTTTAGCTTCTTAGGAAGAAGCTAGTCATGAGTGTGGGATCTTAGATCCCATTAGTCCTCATTCAGAATCTTGGTTGTGAAGGAAGAAAGACGCTGTTCATACCCATTAGAGGTTAAGAAATACAAGAGCTAGTTCCGGGACGGGCACCAAAGCTACAGAGAAACCCTGTCTCGAAAAACCAAAAAAAAAAAAAAAAAAAAAAAAAAAAAAGTACTGTACTAGAATTTAGGCCTTTGCCTCCAAGCATCCCCTCCCTATCTTCTTTTACTAAGAAATACAGATGAGCAGTTACAGCAAAAAACCTCTGATATTTAGACTCAGGGATGTTCCTTGGTCTTGTCACCTAAAGAACCTGGGACGACATGAAAATATGTAAAGGAATCCTTACCTGGAAGTGAGAATATTAAAATATTTCCAACCCTATGATGTTTGGGATTCTTTCTAGCTGTTTTACAATTACTCATATTCTCCTTAAAATTTATTTATTTATTATTTTTTGCCTGTGTAGCCATTCTGTAGACTAGGCTGGCCTTGAACTCAAAGACCTGCCTGCTTCTGCCTCTCAAGTGCTGGGATTGAAGGTGTGTGTCACCACCACCGGGCAAATATTTTTTTCTTTGACAGCTTTATAAATGTTCATAAATAATTTTAGTTATTTTAGCTCCCATTACCTTCTCTCATCATCCCTCACACCGAACCCCCCCCCCCACTGTGTGTGAGAGAGACAAGGGGAGAGAGGGAAAAGGAGAGATTCCCCTTGAATCTACTATTTTATGATGGCTGTTTACATAAGCATTGGTGGGGCATTATTTACTGAAGCATGGGTAAGGGAAGGGCTCATAAGGTCTCTAAAGAACTATTTCCAAGTAGTGGTTTCCGGGGGATGTGACATCTTTCTTTCAGTAGTATTGTCACTGAGAAGTTGCCTAGGCTTCAGTAAGTAACCTCCTCCCCAAGTTAGCTTTGAAATTGCTAATGATCAAGGTTTTTCTCCCTTAATAATTCTGAACCAGTTTATATGGCTCATTATTTTGACAATACAAAAGAGAGGGAGAAGAGAATGTCAAGGAATTCTGGCAAAATCTGTTGTATATTCCAAAAAATTCCTCTTACCATTTTCTGGAAACAAGACCTAGGTTTTAAAGTCTGGGAGGTCGGAAGGTCCATCAACTAAATTTTTTTCTTGGAGTCAAATGAGGAAAGTCTGAAAACCATTTTCGTCAGCATATAGAAGCACACAAATTTGCTAATTCTTTCCCACTTGGAATTTCTACGCAATTTCAAAAAGTAATAGTAGTAGCAAAATGTTAGGGAAATTCCACAGATTCTTGGGGCCATGGCTGTTTTTACTCATTAATTTTCATTAATTCTTGCACTGTGTACTTAAGAGATACCCTTAAAAAGAAAGGAAAGTGACTTTTCTGAAGCTGAAATGAACTGAAAAGGTAATTCCAGTAAACCAGAATCATGATTCTGATTCCTCTAGGATTTACGTGTGAAGGAAATATCAAAAATCAATAAAAAATGTGTATATACAATATCCATCCACTCTTCCGAAAAGAGGACTCTAGCTGCGATCACAATGAATCACAATGATCACAATGAATCAGAAGCAGACAAAGATCTTAACAATTAATATTGCACTCAGTATTTTTACCGAAGAAAAAGAACTGTCTGAGCATTTACATGAGTTTTTTCTCCCTTTCTTCTATCTGACTGAAACTGGAACCACACAATTTTAGGCTTTTCCTGTCCTTAGTAGTCTGTTAGAAACCCAATTTAGAGAGAAAATAGTCACAATTTTTGAAAAAGGAGTTAAGTCTAGTTTTCTTACATTCAAAATCTATCACCTTTTGGCTTAGTTGAAAGTAGGCTGTTCTCTGGGAGGACTACCTAGCCATCTTGAAGGCCCCGAGAGCTTCTTCTGCTCCTCCATCCAGGTTGGGCTTCTGGTTTATGCTAACGTAGGCCTGTGTTAGGTAAGTTACACAGGCTGCATGTTAAGAATATATTTTATGCACACACAAATTGCCTCAAGGATTTATTTTGTATTCAGGATTATCCATCAACTCTAGACTCTTTTATTTTTTATGTCATGGAATCTTTAAAGGGAATTTCTGTTGCTTTGATACGGGGCATCGTTGCAGCCTTGGGGAACTCTCTTATTCTGGCTAAAGATTGGGCAACTTGTAGAGTTTACATCAACTTGGGGAACCTGATATCTTTCTTCCCAGTGGGTTACTTTGCAGGAGGGCAGAGAAAAAACAAAGGCATGATAGCCAGGGTTTTGCATTTGTAATGAAGGTAGTGACATGGTAGAACATAGCTAAGGGAACGGAGACTATCAACAATGAGAATCCAGAGGACAATTAGAATTGGACCTTGCCGGGCTACTAGCATTACTCATTCTGTGTTCGCCACTCAAGGTCCTTGTGGTGTCTCTGAGGCTCCTCAGCTCTTACAGATGTTGGGTGTCACTCATTTTCTCTTAGTCATTCCAGTTGGGGATGACAGAGTCAAATAGGCTATGCAGAACTTCTCAGGAGTTCACCCCTCCCGCACTCATAGTACATGGAGAAGCAATGTTTCTACGGAGGTCAGTGCTTGTAAATTTGGAGCAACATCCTATTTCTTGCAAATCTGCAAATTTTAATAAGTAGCTATGTAAGAAGTTAAGACTTGTCTACTCAAGATCACTTGTCTAGGGCATGCCATATACAATTCTGCCAAAGCTACAAAAAGAAGTTAGCTAAATCTGTAGTTATTACTATACCTGACACAGAACAACATAGGTTTAGACTGTCCTTCATACCCTGATAGATCCTGAATATCTTGAAGAAGCCTGGAACTGCACTTCTCTTGATTAGCCTGGGGGAATCTATCTTTCTGCCTTCAGACTATGGGTTGGGGTGGGAGTGGGGGACTGGTGACAAATAGGAACTTGGCACACTCGCTTGGAGACCAATTCTTTCTTAATTAGTCTACTTGAAAACTGAAGGTGTTTGCACCTATTATACTTCCCCCTATGGCTGATGAGATGTCACAGGAAATGGACAGCGTACTCAGCAGCCTGAGTAATGGTACCCAGCACCAGCTACCACATCACAGCTATAAAGCTGGATACTCATTTACCCGTTGTTTGTACTGCGACCTAATGAAAAGCCAAGCGCTAAAAGTCTCTTCTTACCCCAGACGTGTGGAGCAGAGCAAAGGGGAGTGGCATCTGAGCGACTGCTGACTCTTCGTGCCCCACCCACCCCTAAGAACAAACTCAGTTGTGCCAAGAGGCCCCCTGGCGCCTCTGCAGGTGTGATCAATACTTTCTCGCCTGCTTCAGCTCGCTAGGCCCCACTGCGCACAGCCCGCAAAGCCGCCGCACCTCAGCACCGCCCCACTCCCCGGAACGTTGGTGTTGACATAATTAGACCAAATCTTAGGAGCGAAATAGATGTTCTGTTCGCCTTACAGCCAAACAGATGTTTACAATTCAAATGAAAGAAATACAAACGGTAGGGATTTTTTTCCTCCCCTTCTTCATCTCCAGTGATCGCTCTTTTATTTATTTATTTTTTTTTGACACATTAAAAATGTGTAAGCGGTTACAAGAGTTTCCTGTGCCTGTTTGTTTTGCGGCTTTCATTTCCGCGAGGTTCTCTTGTCCGACAGGTGGGGTAGAATCTTTCTGGGCTGTTTTCCCCCTCTAGCCTTTCTCCCTTTACCGACGCTCTAACCCCGCCCGTGAGGTCCCCACCCCCCACGGCAGCAGATATTAATTGTGATCAAACAGCAAAGAGGTGGTAACTTAGTTGCCTTCACACAAGCCTTTGATAGTGTGACAGCAGCGAATCGGACTGTCCTGATGGAGGGATGCGCTTTTGCAGGTGTAGATGCACCAGGTCGCTGCTGTTTCCTGCTGGAGCCCGCACCAGGTCCCAGCAGAACAAAAGAAAAGGAACTGGGTACCAGATAGGTAACTACTGCCTTGCTGGTTTGTGCTCAGGGATCAGTTCCGAGTTCCCAAAACGTAACATGCTTTGGACGGTGGTGATTTTCTGAGCAGGGGAAAATAAAAAAACAACAACAAACAAACAAACAAAAAAGGGCAAAGTACTTCTTTCCTCATGAAAAACAACTGTCCAGCAAACCATGCTTCTACATGCTTTGGTAGAAGCTTTTTGGTATGCTTTTCGGATAGAATTTCCAGTCTTAATTACGTTCATTTTAGTGTTAAGAGAGCGCGAGTGGCGTTTCCAGTGTGCCATGTGCTCTGTTTTCATTTACAGAGGTTGCAGAACCAAAGAGTTGAGTTTGAGTCACCTAACTGCAAGAGATTCGGGAGTAGTCGTTCTTTGATGGCAGGCTGACGAAGGAAGAAAGATTAAGCTACACGCGGACCTTCTGCTTCGCCCCTTCTAGAAATTGCTAGGACTCCGCCATCCCAAGGTCCATATCAGGCCCAGGAGAGTCTTGAAAAAAACAAAGCAAGGCACGTGTCCTCCTGAGGAGGAGCAGGCCAGTTGCTGTGAGGGCAACAAAAAACAGAAAGTGTCAGTTCTGTCCTATTCATTATTGGTAGACAGGGCGGTTGAAGCTAAGGCTGCTTTTGCGGAAAAGACTTATTTTGAAAAAGAATTAAATCAGATTGGACAACGTTTGCACCGAGGTGTAAACGTCTCAGCCTTGGCGAGCTAGTCACCTCTGCGATCTGATACTCCCTTAAATCGTGCAGAGTTCAAATCATATTAATTCCCCCCAAATGTTTTGATTCAAAGTAGTTTGTATTTTGTGTAGCCAAGGGCAATCGGGAAAGCGCTCCTCCCTGCAAGTGGCCGGTGGGTTCCCTCTCCGTGGCCCAGAGGCTACAGCGGTATTTAAGCTTCGGAAATTAGCCTGGGGCTGCAAGGCAAGATGATCAGAAAGCGAAACAAGGGCGCTGCCCCTCTACACTTTTTTCATACCCCCCCCCTCTTTTTTTTTTTTTTTTTTAAGTTTGCCATCCCGATTTCACAAAAGAGATCAGGGCCAAAGAGTCACTACTATCCACCCTCATACAGGAAGCCTGAGTCTTCTCATCTCTAACTCGTGTGTGAAGACCAGAGCCCCTTTATCCAGCTGACTCCCATATCGTGATTCCATTCGGAGTCCATTCATGATTAGCTTCGCCACCGTCGTGGTCCTCATCAACACTGCGTTATTAAATGCTCAGAGAGAAATAAAAGGTCTGGGTGTCTGACAAAAGGGAGGGGCCATAAGGATGCTTCTGAAGAGTCACCAGGAAAAAAAAAAAGAGTGGGCTTTCCTTCCTTCCTTTTTTTAATGATTAAAAACATAGGCGAGTCCTGTAAATAGAAGCCCCTTTCCTTCAAGAGATGCCTTTTGAAACCCACTGTCTGAATATTCAACGAAGGCAAAGCTCCACTCTGTACGAACAACATTAATATGATCTCTGCAGAATTTGTTACTCAGAAATATTAACATATCAAAGCCAACGCCTGGGGCGAAAGAAGCTATCGATACGCGAGTGCAGGCTAAAATAAAGATTATTGGTTCTGATGGTCGGAGCGGCGGAGCTGCGGGCAAAATCGCGCACACCATTAACCGGGAGTGAGCGCGCAGGGAGCTGGGCCTCCGAGGCGGCCGCAAATATTTTATCTAGGTGGTAATTACCTCACTGCCACCACCCTGGTCTGCCCACGTTATCTTTTGGCTATCAGACCTTGGTTTACAAGAAGGAAAAATGTAACCGACGCTTAACAAAGTTAGCCTGAGAAATGACATTTTGTTCTTTACTACAGATTTAGTGAATGAATCCTCATCCCTCCACCCTCTGCAAACCAGGCCAACTTCTTTCTACCCTCCTCAGGTATGACCATTAGGCAGGTATCTTTCCTCAAGTCAGAACTATGACATTCACAGGACCGCAGGGTAGTAGAAATTTTGCAGGCTTCAGGGTCATAGAGATTTGTGGGAGAAAATGGGGAGCACAAAGATTTTAAGGGAGATCAGTCTGTGACTCACAGACATTGTTACCATAGGAGGGATGACAATGATTTAGGTGTTCTATTTTTTATTACCTCAGTTATCGATATTAGGAGATCTGTGGTGTGCGTGTCTCACCACGGCAATGAAGAGAGAAGGGGTTTCTTAGGTGTTTTGACCTAAGGGGATTTTGCCAGTGCTTTGAAAATAGAAAAGTGCTTGCTATCCACTTGGAAATTATGAATGCTGATAGAGCTACAGAGTCACCCACCTAATCAATTCACACTCACACACCACACGCACACTCTCCTCTCCAGAGCCGAGAATGCTCCTGTCCTGTAAGACCTGGGAGTGGGAAAAAATGGTCAGATGCCAGAGTCCGAATTTCTCAAAGGTGGGGACCACGGATTTTATTGTTGTCTAACTCCTATGCGATCTTTTATCTTACCAATTAATGTTTGGCTTTAATTAGCAGACTAAGAGAAGGATTTTAAAAGGTGAAACAAATAGGCACTGAACGGTACAAAAAAAAAAAAAAAAAAACAAGACAACATCACCCAAGGAGCTTCGCTTCCGCAGCTGTGCTAAGAGAAGAGCGCACTTCCATCTTTTAGGCACCTTTTGAATGGCCAGAAGAAAGGAAGGTGTTCCTACTCTCCCAGGAAACTATTGATTCCACAGCATCTACGGCTCCAACTCTCTGCCTGGAATTCATCCTGTCAGTTATGCTACAATCATTTGGATGTGATAGTCAAGCCGTTGGGGGAGGTACTTTAACAAGTGCGGAGCGGAACGTACGCACCGCCGCGGAAAGCTCGGCTCGCCTAGCAGCCGGCCTCCTTCCCTAATTAGTGGCGCTGTCCTTCAGCACCACGGTGTCTGTGCGCCCTGAGCGCTTGGCTTCACCTTTCCTGTTCTTAGTGTTCTTTCCTTCCCAACAGACCCCAATCAGCAAGACTTACTGAACCTCTCTTTCACTGTGTATGTATTTTACTTCTGTTACAGTTATGAACAGCTATATTTAATATTCAGAAACTTGTCTCTCTCTCTCTCTCTTTTTTTAATTCCAGTATGGCTGAATACAGGCCTGAATGGAAAGTTTAATATTGTTCCTTCTAAATATCTATAAGAAGTGATATTCATACTCTAAAAAATTATAAAATCTCAAAAGTGTGCAACAACAGATTTGAGCATTTTTTTTTTTTTGCAAATTCAACATAAATTCCAAGCACACACTCTTTGGAACAGCCAAATTCCCAAAGAAAAGGATCCTTTTTTTTTCTTCTGGTGTTTATAGTGGATGCTGGGTTATGAGATCTACATGCAAACACAAAACTTCCATTGCTTTTGAAGAGTACACTATTCCTTCAGAAAAGAAAAAACAAATTATTTGACTATTTTTGAGAGAAATGGAGAGAGACTAAAGGACGTCTATTTGGTACCATCAGAAGTTTTGTGGTTTGGTTACCAGAAACAACTGTGGCCCTGAAGCAGGAATTAGTCTTGGTGAATAGGCCACATCTTATTAATTCGTATGAAGTTGGGATAACAGCTGGTCCCTCTTGCCTCCTGTGCTCCTCGGGTTACTGGGCAAGCTAGGAAAATAAACTTCAGAGGCTCATGGTACAGTTAAGCAGGGAAGCCAGGAAATCTGCACTGCCTTGAGGCCCTGTGAATGTCATAGTTCAAAACCTTTTGTCAAAATGGACCATCTGAGATACAGCCCCCTTCAGTGCCTTGGCAGAAAGCAACAACTCTCTCCTCTCGCCTCACCCCCCTTCCCAATGCCATGGGTAACTCTGGATTCAGATGTTTGCCTCAACAGATGGGAACAAGAAAGCTTTATCCAGTGCACTTAACACTACCTCCTCCTCCCACCCTCCCATAATAAAAGAAATCTTCTGGACGCTCCAAAAAAATTAAATAAATAAGGCAGCTACAATATTGGAGACTCATTAGCCTCCCGGAAAGCCTCAATGATATAGCCTTTCACAGACTCCCTCAAGGCCCATCACTAACACCGTCACCCCAAACACTAAGGCAGTGGCTGGCACATTAGGTCTAAAAGAAACCAGAAATCTTGCTCCAGGATGTAGTGCCACTGAAAGGGAAAGAAGTGTGAAAACTTCTGTTTTTAATCCCAGCCATTTTCTCCCCAACTTCGATTCTGTCAGCATTTTGTGGGGAGGAATAGATTTGGGGCTATGAGACTTGGGGCTCGCCCAGCACTGAGGGGTTGGTGGAAGAAAGGGGTATTTTTAATGTACCTATGCCTGTGTGGATCTGCAATAACTCTTTTTTGTTTGTTTCTTAATCAGCACACAAAGAATCTGATGTTTGCAAGTCTCCCCAGATCTTCAAAACAAAGAAACTGAGGTCAAGTTATTTCTACTCACCTCTTCTTATCACTCCCCCTTGGCCGTTGAGAACAATCCCACACTGGGCTTCCACAGAACCCTTCATAAGAGAAAAAAAGAAATAGGAGCATTCAGATATGGTAGACATGACCACTATGCAGGTACAATATTTTAGACTAGCCTATCCCTGACCTCTATGTCAGGAGACCATGGAAGGCATCAGTGAGCAAACACATTTTAAGGAAAATATTTGAATAGAAACTACAATCTACAACTTTTATCCATCTTAAGGTATGCATTGTGCATCACTCCCCAATATCACACTTCAGAGGTTTTAAGAGATTTTCATTTGGACCTAAAAGAAGAAGAAGTCCTTTCAGTCCCCGAGAAGGGACAGGACATACACACAGGCAGCGCATGCTCACTTCTTTTCTGGTGAAGAAAATTATAGCTTATGTGTCAAGTCTGAAATTGTGAGGGGCTTTTTTTTTTTGGAGGTTCAGAGGAAATATTTCACATAGAGGGTTTAGAGTATCTTCTCAGGATTCTGTTTTTTCCCAAAGCAGGAGCACCAAACAATCCTATCCAAAATGGGCCTCCTGGAGGAAACACCTTCAGGTTCACTCTCTGCAGAGCTCCTAGGGTGCTCCCAGAGTGATCATGTGAACTGGAAAACTAGAAAGGACTTGCTGATTTTTTATTAAGAAAAATAAAAATTTCTCTCTCTGTCTGTCTTTCCCCCCCCTTCTGAATCAAAATGTGTTAAAAGCTCATTTTCCTTTACAAACAAACGAGGTATTGGACATGAAAGAGGCCTTGAAGGGTGTTAACCTACCCAACAGCCCGTGAAGAGTTAAGTAAATGCGGAGAGAGTCGGTGCATAATAAAAACCCACTTTACAAAACAACCTTTACAGCCCTGGCTCCCTTTTGCCTCCCCATTTTCACCATATTGAGGCAGGCCCGTAAGACCCCCCTTTTCAACCTACTCACCAGCTCTTTCTTATTTTAAATGTTCTGCCTTAAAGTGATTATCAAATCAATATGAAAAAAAAAACTTGGAGACTGAGCATAAATTAAAGCTGTGATGGGAAAAGGTGTGACAGTTTCCTTTGTTGGCCATAGCAAATCTTTTTAGGGGACTCAAAGATGGAACTGAAGCCACAAGACCGTTTGCATCTGTTAGGCAGACTTAGACTGCCCTCGAAACCATTGGACTTCCACTTAAAATTCTGTGCAGGGAAAAGTATATTTACATTTGTTGCATTTGAAATGAGGCATATGCTGATGAATGTTTTTAAAAGGAAGAAATAAAAGGAGAGAGATGGGTTTCCCCACACACTCCCTCTTCATTTCTTCTCTTAAATATAGCTATGGTTCTTTCTTTTCCGCTCTGCTAAGTACATCAGGAGGACCAGAATAACATTATAGAGTTATAATCTCCTCCTAGTCTTCATATACATTACAATATATGCACTTACATACACATATAGAAGTCTTTATGACCATGCATGTGTGCAGGCATCGCACACCATACTCTTTCACTGAGTATCTTAAAGTGTTTTCTTCCTCAGTATGAGTAATGTTATTTCAACACAAGTAACACAAAGAAAAGGAAGAATAAATATATAAGAGATAGGCTGAAATAAAGATTTTATGATATCTAAACTGTAAAAGATAAAGGACACCCAAGTTCTCCAAAGAAGCGGGACCAATTTCCCCTCTCACTCTCAGGCGCATTGCTAAGATGTTTATTTTCTCCGAAGAAACAGATCTTGGTCCCTTCACTTAACAAACTTTCCCCCCTCATAAGTAAAACATGCTGTTTGGTCAGATGACATTGCATAAATGACCAGTTGAATGGCACTAAGTCGAAAATTGGATAAACTACGGTGTCCTTTTGCACAGGATTCTGCCTTTGTCCCGTGCTTGCAAATGTTCTAATCCTCTCTTTTGAAAAATGCCCAGCTTTGTGCCTAGCACAGAAAAAAAATTTGTACAGATACAAAAAAATCAGCAGCAGACGTGGCTATTAAAAGGAGTAAATAGGTTTTAGTTGAGCTAAGCATTGAATGGCAGATTTTTTTCCCCTCCTGAGACATAAGGGGATCCTTGTGAAAAATGTAAGAAAATGCCCTAAGCGTATAAAATTATTTTGTGAATTTAAGTATAGCAAGTCAAGCTTTAAGGAGTGAAATCTTCTTTCTTGTGCGTGAATCATGTGGTTATGGCTCTTTGTTGGAACTGTAAGGGCTTTCACTTTAATTTAAAATTAATCTCTTGCTCAGGGGTAAAGGAGGGGGAAAGATATTCTGTGCGCAACAAGAGACCTCTTCTGTCTCCAAGTTGTGCTCCTGGAATATCTCCCGGGCCTTCAGGAAGTGTGTGGAGGTGGCAGGCTTTGTGCAGACTGAAAAAGGGAAGGAGATGTGCTCTCCACTAGAGGAAAGTACAGCTCTTTGGGTTCCTACTCTAGACCTTTGTGGGTTTATTGATCTGAAATGTGTCTAAGACAATGGCATCACTTCATTAAAAATTCTATTGTTGGCAACGAACGTGGAAAGCATGTTAAGAAAGTAGGAGACTTGCTTAAGTGGTGGCCTCTGCGGTGTTTGAATTCATTTCTATGCTTTCCCCCTTTCTTCCTCCCATCCCTGTTCCTTCCTTTTTTTTTTCTTCCAGCTCTTTTTCTCTATTTGTCTTGCTTCCTTTATTTCATTTCAGATAGAATAACGGGTTGCATCTTACGTAATATGGAATGACCTGAAGAGAAAGGATAAAGAAATAAAGCATGCTGCAGGGCTACCAGCTTGGGAATGCTCAGGCAAAAAGAAATACAACTACACTCTGGCCAAGTGCATCGTGCAAATGATGTTATTGGGGCTGACTTTTGACACTTTTATTTGTGGTTCCTTACTTGACACAGCAATCTAATTTGTTTGTGAAACTTTTGCTCAAGCTTGTTGTTCTAACAACCTTTTAAGAACTACCTGACTCCCTCAAGGCATCATGAAATTCCACTGCAGGTTCTGTCTAGGCCAACTCTAGAAATATGAGAATACTCCCTGTAAATTATGGAAATTGAGGATATCATTAGCGGGCCGTCAGCTTTTAGAGTCTTGCTCTGACACCTCTAGATTCAAATGCAGCTCCACTGACCTCACACACCTATCCTCTTAGGGTCAGAAGTGTAGATTCATAGCTGACTTTTGATGACTGGCCCCAGGTAGGGGCTGCAGCTATTGATCCAATGAGAGGAACGCAGTGGGCACAGTCCTCCTGTAATTTGATGCCTTTCCCTAAATCGTGTTTTGGTTGTGTGTGTGTGTGTGTGTGTGTGTGTGTGCGCGCGCGCGCGCGTGTGTGTCTGTGTATGAGAGAGAGAGAGAGAGAGAGAGAGAGAGAGAGAGAGAGAGAGAGCATTAACAGAGAGCGGAAGGGGGGGAGGGCGAGGGGAGGGCGCAGACAAATCCGCTGCATGCTTATTTACCTGCAAGTCGTCGGCTCCCGCGGCGGCCAGCCCCAGGCTGGGGCCTGGCAGGAGTCTTTGATCTGGGTGCATTCCATACTGAGAGCCATGGCTCATGAGGGACAGGTCGTGGCGGCGGTAGGCATCGAGGCAGCCCAGCTCCCGCCTCTGCTCGTCCAGGCAGGAGGACTTGAGCGCCCGCGCATTGTGCAGGTTAATAAAGTCGGTGGGCTCCCCGTGGTGAATCTGCTGGTAGTACTGTTGTGAGTGGTGGAGCGAGTTCAGAGAGTAGGCGTCGGGAGTGACCGCCGGGTGGCTGTGCTGGAACTCGTAATGGAACGACTGGTGATGGAGCGGGGTGTACTGGTGGTTAGTGGAGAAGTAGGGGGACGCAAACTCGGTGCCGGTGGTGGAGTAAGTTAAAGGAGAGGAGGAGGAATAGGCAACCGTGGAATTGGCTACAGACTCCAGACAGCCAAGCTGCATCAAACGGTAGCTGTTTGATCCGTCGTGACGTATCTGGAAGGAAGAGGGGGAAAGGGGAGAGCAGAAAAACTTGAGGTTTGTCATTTTGCAACCAAGGCGCCACTCTCCCAGAGTCGGGAGCTTTCCCTGGCCCTCCTAGGAGAACAAGAGCAAGCAGGCTGGGTTCGGGAGAGATGCCGGGGCTCAGTGAGCTCCTTCACCAAGCAGACATCCAGCACAGTTGAACTGGGGGTGGGCGGCCTCGTCTTCACAGTAGAGAGAGCGGGGTGGGGGTAATCCCCCACCCTATATAGGTGGGGGCGATATCACACACGTAGTCACAGACAGAAAACAGACAGACAGACAGACAGACACACACACACACACACACACACACACACACACACACGCTCTTCCCTTCCCAACTTGTGCCTGGAGCTAGGGGTCCAAGTCAGGTTTGAAGGTGATTAGGGTCTGCGGGGAGCAGGAGAAGCCACAGGCAGAAAATGCTAGGATGCACCTTGCCTCTCCAGCAAATCCTCGCGCCGAAAACGCCCGCCTGACCATGCGGAGATGTTCAGCCTGGGCTGCTCAAAAATATCATCGTCCACATATATAATTATATATATTAAATATATATTAAAAATCCCAGTCTGCAAAATTGTTCAGCTTGCTGACTTCTGTATCGTCTGTATCCCATTCCTTGAATAAGCCCCTTTTAAAAGGGGTACGTTTTCCCCCATCCCCCATGTCCACCTACCGCCCCCCATTAGTCCCTTTTCTTTGCTTTTCGGAGAATCCTTTCTGTGTCTCTAGCTTTCTCCTCATCCCCCCCTTATTGTTAGGATTATGTTTCTCCCTCATTACAGCAAATGGTGCTTATCGTGGAGAGTTGCCCTCTCTGGCGACAGATGTCATAACGAACTTTCTCCCTTCCCTTCCTTAACTTCTCCCGAAAGCCAGATTATAATTAAACGTAACGGTCCAATATAGATTAGAGGCAGGGGAAGCTGCCACCACAGCCGTCACCACCGCCGCCACACACTCACACACTCTCACACACTCACACACACGCGCGCGCGCTCACAAAAAAAGTAATAATACCTCCGCATCGTGGACTAGTCCGGGAAAGGTAGTTGACATGTTGGGTTTCTCCAAAAGCTTACGATGCAATTTCCCCCTCCAAAAAAAGAATCAGGAAAAAAATCCAAAACTTCTTGTATTTTCCAATTTTTTTTAAAGGAAAAAAAATGCTCTGTAGATACAGATCTAAACTGTAATGGTTTTGCCCGGATCGGATAGCTCCTTGTCTCGTACCCACTTAAAAACCTGTAGGAACAAAATTTTCCCTCTGCACAAAAGCAGCTCCCTGGACCAGATTTTGTACTTGCTGAGAATTTCTTTGGCTGATGTCGTAGGTCCCTTGGTAATATAGAAGTTTTGAAAATTAAGCATCAGCACTGAGAACGGGGAGGACAATAGGCAGAGGAGATTATCCCATGAGACAAGGAATAAATATTGTATCTTCGCCTAATAAGGAACTGGAGCTTCTTTCAACATTTTTATCCATTTTCCCCAACCTTTATCGTGCTTTTCTATACAGACTGAGGTGGGGACTCATCTCTGCTGAGAGCATTTACACATTTTTATTGTGAAGATGGAAATCTACCCCCAATAAGTACACCTTACAGACAGAAATATATATTAATTAAACCTTTCTTTTACATGACTGAGCATTTGTTCCTATTGGTTCCACTCCCTGGATACTGAAAGCTGACTTCTCCTACAGACATTAGATTCAATCTTGCCCAGTTGGGGTGTCTGCCTTCTTCCAAGTAAAACCAGTACTGTTTTTCTCATGTTTACATTGAATTTGGGTTCTTTCTCCCTTTTTGAAAGGCAACACCAGGTGGTGGCTAACATTTTTTCAGCAGTTTTTAAGATAAGTAACCATGATGGACAGTTTTAAGTTTCTGTCGCAACGAAGTGGGACAACTGGGGAAATTCAAGAGAATAAAGAGACTGCACACTTAAGTAAATACCTTTCGCTCCTTGCAACTCAGCCTATTTCCCTTCTCTTTTGGTACTTCCCTTCTTGGTCTTGTAAACAGTACTTTTCCTTTCTGTTTCCTGACAGTGGAATCAGGTATATGAACACCGTTACGGCTACATAACCCCCAAATACTTAGAAGTTACATTTTTACAAAGAGAGGACTGGAAGGAGACCACACACACACACACACACACACACACGCACACGCACACGCACACGCGTGCGTGCACACACACAGACACACACACATTTCCTTTTCTTGGTGGATTTTTCAACTTTCAAACAGTTTTAGTGGTTTACTTCATTCAAAATTGAGGCGGCTCCACTGAGTTAAATACTGTTTTGAAAGGTGTGTGTGAGTGTCTGTGTCTGTGTCTCTCTGTATGTGTGTGTGATGGCTACAAGCTCAAAATATGGAGGTTTTGAAAGGTTTTATCAGCAAACTTGCCTATGAAAGGGGGGGAAAAAAAGCCTGGCCGGCTGGCTGGCCAACCCCACTGACTCATCTCAGAGATAGACAGCATAATTCAGTCTTAATTGGTATTTCATTTGGTTAGCTTTTAAGTGTTTAAACTGAGAAGGTGTCTTAATAACAAGCCGCAGGCAAGCAGACATGTGGCTTTTTTTTTTGGTTGGGGGGTTTGGGAGGGTTTATTAGGATATGCTCAGGCAGGGTAACTGGGGCTGTCACTCAGAGATTTTGACTCTATACAAATGGACAAAGGCACATGACAAGACTTGAAATGCATTGTCAGAAATAGAGATCGGAGGTGCCTTACTTCCACACAGGATTAGCAACCCCATATTTGTTCTCTATGTCAAGGTGGACATACCACCCCCTCCCTTCCCAATCCCACATTGTAGTCTAACAAAGTCAGAAGACTTTCCAAGTGAGGTCAATGAAGATGAAAAAGAAGAATAGAGAACATGCTCTTTAAGAAGGAAGGGAAAGAGGAACACTGTTGATACTTAGAGACTGTGCCCCAAAATGTTTGCACTAGAGTCTTTGTTTGCTATGTCTGAGCCCAGCTCTCATAACTTAACAAAAGTGGACCTAAATAATATGGTCATACATGACAGTTTATGGGATCTGAGGACTGATTCTATAATCATATCTCAGAAATCTTGTCCCTGAGAAAGTTCAAGCCCATCCTTCCCAGAAGACTACAGAGGACCTGCTAGCTGTCTTGGGAGTAGTGAGACACATTTTTTGGTAAAAAATGTTCTTAAGTATTCTGCACTCAAAAGGAAAGAATCAAACCTCTCAGACAAGTAAAGCCTATCTTTCCTCAACCCTTCCAACCACCAGGAATATCTTCAGTTAAGGCAAAAGAACGTTAGCATTTAGCTTAGATCTGAGGAGAGGATGCACAACCTTCTCTTCTAGGACAATCAGGATTCTCAGGACAGCCTGGCTTCTTACTCAGTCTGCAGTGGAGCGCCTTGGATCCATATAATCATTCCTGCCTCCAGAGACAGCCACAGACATCCCCTCCCTTAAAAAAGGAGTCTTATGATGCTCTTGGTAAAGAAGCTTAGAATCTACCAAAGAGTGCCTTCTAGCTGCCTCTTCTGTCTTGAGTACTTCATGACATTACTGAAATTCTAGTAATTGTATCTCCCCATTGCTTTCCCAATTCCTATCCCACTTTCCTGAGTGACTTTTAAGCATCTAGATAAAGAGTATGAAGGATTTCTTTTTCTTTGCTGCTGAACACCATTGGGCTTGGAGGAAACTAAAGATCATAGAGTGAGAGAATACTTTAGTAGACTTAAGAGAAAAGAAACAAAAAGAATAAAGTCTATACCAACTTTGTATAGGATCTACTTTGACAGGCTCCACTGGGCATGCTCATCTTTCCCCCATGTCCTATTCCTTATATCAGCGTCTTAGACAAAGGGAAACTTCAGTTTCCTTCCGTCTATATCAACTTTTCATTACAAAAAGCCGTTTCACTTTGACAGGATAGTTGGGAAAAATCATCTGTGCCATATGCACGGATTGGTCAGTATTCCTTCCCATCTGCTCCGGGGTTGCTCAGTATGCCCCTTTTATAAATGAATTTATCGAGGCAGGTGTGTTTGATGCCTTCTGTGTGTGAGGTGCAGCCTCTGGATTTGTTTTTGTTAGACAGCCCCCCCACCTGTCCCCCTGTCATCCAATTAATAGTCTTGAGCAATTAATAAGTGACATTTTGCTTGACCCAAACACAGGGCTTTTCAGCAAAGTTAATTCCTCTTTTTCTGTTTTGCTTCTTTCTTGGAGAGTGATTGGCTACACATTCTCCAGGGGATGTTGTAATTGAATTAACTGGCCACAGCCTGCTGGATTCATGGTGACAGGCTGCCCGGGGCCCCTTCTAAGGGAACACTGGTGGTGTGCATCCCAGTCTGAACTAGAGGCCAGGCCAGTGAGTGCCCACTCAAAATAGCCCATGTGAGCATGAGGCAACCTTGCTACCTGTCACCTCTGTGGCAGGAGAGGTCTGCCTTAATGGTTATGTTTTTCTTCCTTCTGGTTCCCTGTTCTACATCATAGATGTGACTGTCCCACAAAAATGACCCTAGGAATCTTCTAAGAAAGCCTTCTGCATATATATACTCGTTATCTTGATTAGGAACCTGGAGTGGAAGAATGGTTTAGGAAGGTGAGGGTCCCTATCCTGAGTTTCTAGGTGGCTACCATGAAGTTTGCCTTAGTCTGGATCCATTCTCAAGCATTTTCACTGAAAGGATCTTTCTTTATCTACTGTAAGTCTAATATGGGCAAGCAATTAGCAGACAGCTATCACAGTCCATATCCCTAACTTTAATAAGTATTTCTTCAGTCTTCCTCCTCTTTCTCTTCTTCCTCCTTCTTCTCCTCCTCCTCCTTCTCCTCCTCCTCTTTCTTTTCCTTTTTTCCCCTTTTCCCTTACTTTAGGCTTCCTCATACCAAATTTCTTGTGTCATATTAGATAAAGTAATGGTTACAATTATTTAATATGATTTATCCTGAGTGTGTGTTTATCTTGGAATTAAAGTCAAGCTTTATACTAGGTGTATTGCCTAGTATTGAGCAACAACATTAGCTTATAGTTGGATACTCTCCCCCTTCCACTTAATACATTTATCAACATGCATTAACAAATGTATCTTTTTACTTTTCCCCTCCATCCCCTTCTTTCTCCCTTTGCCTGCTCTCCCTCCCTTTTTCTTCTTTCCTTCCTCTCTTCCTTCATTTTTTTTAAGAGGAAAGTAGAGGGAGGATTGATCCACTAATGTTATGCCTTAAGCAAGTATCTGTGTACATTTTCTAAGTATGGAATTCAGTGTGTTCTGCTCCACTGGTGCATGCAGCTAGCTCCACAACCCAAGCATGAACTTGCAAATAAGAGACGTTTTCCATTGTCATGAAGCCCCTGCCTTCTAAATTGATCTTGTTCAGGGCAACAGTAAAACACTGAATACCCCAAAAGGTAGATGCTGCTTATCACAGAAAGCGGCAAGTAGAGATGTCTATTACACAATGACTAACAAGAAGAGTTTGAATGTGTGGCCCTTTACCTCTGTGGAGCCTTATTAGAGAGGAATATACAAATGACACTTTCAGAGAACAGAGTAGCTGAAAGACCTCAGTGTCCTACTTGGGGCTTGCTCTGACTGTGTCTGTCCATAGGTGTCTGCCCATAGGGACCCTGTTACCTCATTGAGGAACTCTTCCTGAATAGGTTTCTGACCAGAGCTTTGGCTCTACAAGACAGTTCTCTCAGTACTCTCTTCCTCTCAGGGGCCCTTTCAGTCACTCAGGGTTTTAATGACCTGGAACCTCTCTTAGTCCGTGGGCTTATAAAGGGGCCCTCCTTCTGATTTCCTTCTTCCCTCACCAGGTGCAGGGGGCTAGTGAGCAGAGCATTCCTTCAGGGGCTGAAGAGACAAGCGTATTGGACTTCCCACCCAGTGTCTGAAACCCCTGGTGGATTCACTTTTCCTCCACTGGAAGTGAGGAGAGAAGGGCTCCAGACTGTTCGGAAAGGGTTTTAAGATTATTCATTTACACGGACCTTCTCTCTCTTGGCTCAATACAGGGACCCCCAACCTCTTGACTAATTTAAATGTTCCCCTGTCTCTTGGCTCATTTACATAGACCCCCATATCTTGGCTCATTTACATGGAATCCCATCCCTCGATTTATTTACGTGGAGCCCTCCCCATCCCTTGACTGATTTACATGGACTCCCTTATCTCTTCGTGTTCCCCCA